CACACTATACACTTCTTTAGAAGACCCACACTCAAAACCATTCAGGTAGGGGGAGGATACAATAGTAAAAACAGATGACATACATACCACTCCTTTCTCCACAACTTCCTTCAGTTTGGAACGAGTCATTTTGGGCTCCTGAGAGTTTAAAACAAGACAACAGCAGCCTATTCAGCTATTTTCCTTAACTGCAAACTTTTCCCCAGCAACTCTTTACTACAAGACTTTTCTCTTTTTTTAAATTCACTACCTTTTAGACATGATCAGAGCGACATCAAAAATAGCCCCTCATAATTCTGTTTCATAATTTACACTCATACACAGACGCTACTCACTTCATCCAGGTGGCAAATCTGGTAACGAAACGTAAATTATGGTACTACCTATTCTACCTGTTCTCTCCATATCACGTCATGGACCAAGAAGATAAGACTGGTGAAGGTATCGTGCATTTGGAAGAACTGAAAAACCAAACCGAAAAAGCTTTTTACTTACAAACAGAGGTATATCTTCTGTCTCACTGATGGCTGCTTTCATCATAGCAACAACATGCTCATTTGTGATCACTTCCTACAGGAACACACAAAAAAGTATCCCTTACATTCTGTTTGTTAAAAAGAAACAGACTTAAATTTAAAATAAACTAGTTGGAAACATGATGGAGAAATATTCAGTGTATGATATACTTTGTAATTATGTTATAATAAAAAAGATTGTTCAGTCACTGGACAAGAAAATATAAAGTAAACAGTGATAAAAATATTTGCATTACATTCTCTGTGAATGCTTCACAGAATAAATTTCCAGCAGAAGGAAAGAAAATAGTCGAAACAAAAGCCCACACCAGTTTCCCTTCCCTTGTGTCATGTAATCAGTAAAATGAGATGATCCCAGCCACATGAGAAATGCTGCTATGAAGCTACAATAGAAAACTTAAATCCTTAAGCACTCACAGGCTTCCAAAAAAGGGTCTAATTATCTAGAGAAAGTATGTAATAATCTACTCTTTGAAACATTGTGCTAGATCATTTCAGAAAACATTGTATATTTTTAGAAGAAATAGGGGAAGCCAGAAGAGACCCAGTATCCGTGACTACAATTTCTGAATGCCACCATAAGGTTCCAGGGAAGGTAGGTGACTGTGAGATATTTATAGTCCTTCCAAAGTGCCACGTGACAGAGAAAGGCATTAATTCATGGCACTTGCACAAAATCAGCTGGTGAATCTTCCCAAAAGAATCATGGCAGTCTCCAGTTTGTTTGCCACACGGATGGCAAAAAGGAAAAATATCTGAGGTTACCTGGATTAGACTAGCTGCCTGGGCACAATTTTTGATCCTGTGGGAAAATACCTATATTGCTCTCCAGACCCTGCTCATGGGATAAAATGAAATCTACACCTAATATAGGTGTAGAATTAGTGTCATTACACAGCTGTGACACCACAGATATTCTTTTTGCAGTTCCTTTCTAACTGGAAGTTGTGTGGTGGACTAAAAGGTTGGTTGGGGTAATTAACTAAGAGCAATACATTTCTGTCAGCACCACTAGAATTCCATCAGGACTTCATCATGAAACAGTTCACTCAAAACAAGAAACAGTGAGTTCACAGTCTACATCTCCTCAACCGGAACCAGAAGTATTACTTCTTGAAGAACCACTTCAATTACTCCTGCTACTGCTATTACAGTACAGTAAAACAGACCCATTTGCTATTGTAAATAAATGGTCGTGAGGGATCAATACCTACTAACAAAGCCAGGTCCAGGTAACTTATACATATGCCATGTGATTCTCTCTTTATAGCTTTTTATAGGAGAGATTAGGAGATGTGTGCCTACCCAGTCTTCCTTGTTCGTGAAATCAAGTGCTACCATTAGCACTATACTCAAGTCTAGACTGCACTTTCTTAAAAAGCTGGGCACTTCTCCGTTCCCTGTCATAGCCCCACCGCACTCACATGCAGGATGTTTCGCACGTTGACAACTGTCAGGTTATGTTGTTTAGCTCCATCTTCTAAGGTGCGATCAAGAGTATCATCTAGCTTGATGTCACAAGATAAAGATCCCTCCTCTTCCTGACTTTTCCCTTCTCTTTTCCGTTTGGTTGCCTTCCTCCTTCTCTTCCTTCTCTCAATATCCTCTCCATCTTGCTCCTCTGAAAATTAACAAAAATGGAAACTAAAAATTCAGATACTTCACATCCAGCACATTCTGACAGTATAAGTTTAAAAAAAAAAAAAGCCAGAATTCTGCAAATACTGAAGTGGCAGCAGCTTTCCAACAGCTGATAAGGAGATCATCCAAATGGAAATGGCCATAAGAACTAGAAAGTCTTCTGAATGATGGGTTCAAATTCTGCAGGACCCAAGTGAGTCACATTAGTCAAGCAAATAAAGGTTATGTATTTGCCATGTCTACTAGCTGCTTTTACAGAATGGTCTCAGCAGCCTTTTTATGCCTTTTCCAGAAGGAAGTGTTTTAAGTATGCCATCAAGATTAAAACAGTTGCAAATCTCCAGGCACCATACAGCAAGAGCAGATTAGTTTCCAGGACTTAGTGTTTCCCAAGTGGCACTTTTTTTCTGACTCGGGGAAATAAAAGAATCATAGCCTCCTCTGAAGGAAAGCAGTATTTTTAAGTAAGTGAAAATTGCAGAGATCAGCTCCAGCAAGTTTCACTTGGATACCTGTAGTTTATTTAGCCACTGATTTAGAGAGCGCAGGATGGAAACTTCAAAGAACGTTGCACCTAAACAGCCCCTGCTATGGTGTACACAATTCCAGAATTCTGCATCTACTGTATCAAGTCACAGGTCTGCTCCTTGCACAAAGCTTACCCAATGGAATAAACAGTCCCAAATCCTCATTTTCCTCATCAGTCCACTGGGGCCACTCACCAGCTCTGGTGTTCTTCAGTGGCTTCATCACAGTAGGATTTCTAACAGCCAGCTGCAAAGAACTTCTCACTGGAGACTCCTGCATTGCAGATTGGTTTTCCGTCAGATATGGATCTCTCTGCGAATTCACTTCCACCTCTGTACACAGCTTAGGTGTTTTCCCTGTAAACAGTATACACTAAATTGTAGTCAGATATGCCATATGGACACAGCTAAGCAAGGTTAAGAGGCTGCTGCAATTACAAAAGCTTATAGTGACCCATTCAAATCTGTTAAATCAACTGCACAAGTCTAACCTAGCCTGTAAAAGTAATCCAGATACACTGAACACTGCAGCAGCAGTCCCATCCTGCTGGAAACAAATCCAGGCGAAGAGATGCCCACCTCCAACTATTTCAGTCTTGCTCCCTCCACTATCAGTTTTGCACAGCTATGCTGAAAACTGTTCCTGTCAAATGATCCAATGCCAAAAAACCCGATGATTTGTTTAAAACATGGTTGTACTGCTTGTTGTATAAATGCAACTGCAACAACAGAAATCAACAGCTAGGGGCAGGCACTCCTTCACCCAGGCAGGTTATTCACAGCTGGAACAGCACAGTTGACTGCAACCTTAGTATGCAGTTTCACAGCCACCTTGGGCCAATTTAAAACCACACTACTGCTGGCAGGGGTGGCTACGTACCCTTCCCGCTCTTATTCTGCGCACTCCTAGAAAACAACTGTGAACTGACCCCTGTTCCACTCCCTTTTCTCCTGACACAAAATCAGCTTTCAGTCAAATCAACGAGCTAATCAATCACAGCAGAACAAGAACCAGAGACAACACTTTTCACAAGGAAACAAGGAAGCACTGTCCCTTTTTGCTGCAGCCTGTAGTTAGATGGGCTTACGACAATTACTAAAAAACAGCTGAAGCCTGGAGTTTCATGAACACCTTGAGCCAGTATGAAAACAGTCACCCAACAAAACCAGCTCCCCAACCCTGCAGCAGTTGCTGCTCTGGCACAGGTATTTGTGTAGTTGCACAGAAAATCAGATCAGCGAGTTGATCCAGATAGAGAGGAAAAAACACCACCACCCCCACACTTCCCACACACCCCCACTTTTTTTGCCAGGTCAATTCTGCAATCTCATTCAGCTCAGAGACAAAGATGTATGCCAGGAAAAGAGAAAAAGAACAGGATGGGCAATCTGGGGAAAGAGGGCACAACCACTTATTTCAGTAGACTTGAAGACAACCAGAAATACAAAATGAGCATCATTTTGATTGTGAAGTCAAGTCTCCCTCACTAGCTCACACATCACACTTTCACTGAGTGAACCTCAGGGCAAGCAAAGTTCACTTGGGCTTTTTACACAAACTTCCAAAATACCTATGTTCCACAACAAATTTGTAACTTGATACTAACACAAGTTCTACTTGCATTGGCTCTTGTAAAGGATCACAGTAGAGCCCCATACAAGTGTCCCTATAGACTACTCTTTTGAATGCTTGAAAGAATTCTCTTCTGAGAATGAAAGCAAATGCAGGCAAAAAACTCTGAAAAGCAGTATTTTTTGAACCAGCAACTTGCACTTTTGCCAGTCTCACGACTTATTAGCCAAACATTTGTTTTTAAAAAAATAAACACAAGGTGACTGTTTCAAATCAAAGCCTGGATTTACAAAGTCTTGTCTAAAGACTAGGTGAAAGTAACATATCTTGCACCACATAAAACTTGCAAAATATGTCTACGAAAATTACTGTTAGGACTGATGGCTATTACAGTGCATAAAAGATTAAACAGAGGGGCAAGACCAGGAAATTGCGTGCAAGTTTGCAAAACTGGGTATTTTAGGTTGGAAATTTGAAAAAAAAAAAGCAACTTCTAAAGCACTTTAGCATTCAGAAGCACTACAGGCAAGTAGCTTAAGTTCTCCATCAGTTTCCTAATGTTTTAAGGGAGGAAACCCCCCCAACTTTGAAAATGGGAAGCTTGCTAACTTGTAACACTTCAGAGAAAAAAAACAAACAAACAAACACCACAAAAACTAAGCACCCGAAGGAAAACCTTTACGTAAACAGGCCCATAAAGCGCTCCCTTAGCTGAGCCCGGCGATGAGCAGAGCTCACAGGGCCGAGGCCGGACCAGCAGCAGGCAGGAGCCAAGGCGGCAACCGGCGTCCGGAGAACCACCGAAGGCACCGTAACACCCCCAGGGGCGGGCAGCACACGCATTTACCTTCCGCCACCGCTTCGGGACTCGCGAGGCCCTCGGGGATCTGGGCGGTAGCACAGGCCTCCTTCGCGCCCGGCGCTTCCTGACCGGAGCCCTGGGCCGCCCTGGCCGGGGGCCTCTTCCCGCCCTTTATCGAGCCCTCCCCGGGCCCCCTCCACACGCCCGGGCCGGAGTACGGCCCGCCGGCTCGGGCCGCCGGCGCGAGTTTGGCGGAAGACCCGCC